GTGACTCTGGGATTATTTCAACTAATTCATTTTTCTCTTAGATATTCTTTTGCTTTCAATTATGTAATACGCATAATTTGTGTGAATAAACTGACCTTGTTGTGTCTTTGCTATCGCTGGTTGATAACAAACACTTGCTGACATTTTACTGTTGAATTTGGTCAAGTTGTAACGAAACAAAACTATTTTACATCCAGTTTGGTTGTTTATTGCGTAGCAGCATACCATATCAATTTTTTAACCTAATAGATTGCTTGATTTTTGTGTGAAAATAATATAAAATGTGACTAAATCTGTGAATTAACTGTAGTAAAAATAAAGTTAAAAAGTGCAATATATCTCTATTGGTATATACATATACATATAGTTGTATCTATCTATCTATCTATCTATCTATCTATCTATCTATCTATCTATCTATCTATCTATCTATCTATCTATCTGAAATGCGGGGAAATAAAAAACTGTCTCAGTAGTTGATAACCTGAGTACAATACTTTAAATGTGCACTTCAGTACAGTACCATGATAAATAAATGGTATCGAGCCATGTAGACAAGTTGGGTTTTATATCTACTGTATATTGAATGTTTTTGCTGTCACCTCTGTATTGTAAAAGTGAAGGAAAACTATCTTCAGCCACATGACTATAATTAGAAGCAATGTCTCAGTTATCAATCATTTTTGTTTCAATTACCTAAACAAATAGTCCCAATGAAATCTCTGATTGCCACGATGCTGTTGATTTTTTTTTTTTAAATGCAATCTTTAATGCTTTGAGCAGCAATAATAAAAATTACATTCAAGCCTCCCTCAATATGTGTGTATGTAATTCAAAGGGAAATCCTGCAAATTGTACAATCAAACTTGGTTTACTGGTCTAGTGAAGGGCTATTACATATGTAAAAAATAATAAATAATATGTGCTACCATCAGATGGGCCTGAAGAGACAAGTTTGACGATGACAAAAGAAGACTGGGGCGACGCTAGCTGCTACGTGCACAACACGCACAAATCCCTGACCGATTTGTTGGCGGTTGCATTGCATTGTGGGTAATGGGTGAGTAATGACGGAGCAAAACGCAGGGAATAAAAAAGATGATTTCTGTCGTTCTGCTGCATTGGTTTGATTTTGATCACATCATAATTCTGATAATGGCACAGGAGTGCAATATACATCTCAAAACCTGGTCACATGAAACCAAAACTAGCAACAGGGGTGGATTTATTAATTTATTCACCTGTATTTAATCTAGTGATTGTTATTCGGGTCAGGGAGCTACTCTGGGGATTGTAGATACCACCGGGGTAGGTGAGAAAATCTTTGTAAACTGGGTAAACTGACCCTGTAAGTAGACCACAGTCTGTTTGAATGCAAATCTCATGAGGCCTAATTGCGCAGATGTCGACTGACATTCTTGCACTTGGCGAATCCAATTTTGTAAAGTCAGCAAAGCTTTACACTCCCGTCTATTGGACAATTAAGCCTTTGCCCACCAGGGGCTCACAGGGAAAAGGCGTGGTGTGGGGGGCGACCTAATCTAATCAATTTCAGTTTGTTTTTGTTGTCGCTGACCCCACCTCAGGCTGCTTGCCCATCCTCACCCCTTATCTAATGACAATGGCAATGATATTAAAGACAATGTGGAAATGCATCCACAGAGAGCTGCATGTCTTACCTCTGAGGTGAAAGTAGCTCAGATGGTTTGCAGCAACTTGCTCAACGGTCTCCTGTGCACACAGCTTGACTCCACTCGGGAAAAGGATGTTCCTTTTCCGTCGAGAGACAAGTGGGTGGCCTTCATGAGTCGCCTTCACATCGGATATACCAGCGATACGTGGCAACACCGCTGGCTCCTGAGGCAGACTCAGGTACCCCATAGAGGAACCTTCCAGAGTTGCATCTGGGGTACCACATCAAGAACAAAATGTTACAAGTCACCTGTGTTTTTAAAAAAAAAGTAGTGAGCAAGAATATTGTAAGTTAATTGCCGATACATACCTGTCCTTATGTCTAAAAATATGGCCACTAAACTAAACACAACAATATAGAAAACAAATCTCCAAGATGCGAAGCTCATGTTAAATCCGTGATTGTGTTTAAATCCGTGGACTCGGAAAAGGATCAAGCAGATACGTATTTCCTCTCAAGTCACGTAACATCAATGGGAACAACTTCTTACAAGTTTGCATAGTTTAAAATTCTCCAGACGCAAAAGAATAACAGAACAACAGGCTTCCTGCTTTCCTCCAGGGCTGAAGAGAGGTGTGTCCCATGGTGTTGAGAGGACAGCGGCTCCTGGCTCAGGTAAGATAGGCAGATGGCTCTTGGAGAGAGGAGGATTTTTTAATGCTCTCTAATCCTGTTTACTCTAAGCCTTTTAGAGGAGCTCGCCAAGAAGTTACTGGAGCAACACTGGGAAAGGGAGGGTGCTTAGTGTGGAGGAAACGTGGACGAGAGAGGAGGCAACAAAGGCCGCACGATCAAGCTGCAAGATGCGTAAACATATTAAGGGGAATCTCTGGAAGGTTGGGGATTGACTGTAAGGCTTGAGTCATTCAATTGAAGGACGGCAGCTGGCAGCCACCCAAATCAGGCCAATGGCACGAATCCCACCCAAAGTCAAATCAATCCACATGCAAAGGGAACATATAAGAAAGCAAAGTGCCGATGTAACTATGGTGCATGGTGGTGAACTGACGAAAAGCTTTATCAAAGAAACAGTCCCCATCATCCACCCACTCACACAGAAAAAGAAGCTAAAATCCTCTCACTATAGCAAGAGTCAAGGGCTTAGGAGCTGACCTTTGACCCCAAACTCCCAACTCCTACGAGGTTTATCCTGTTTTTAAAAGGGAAATCTGCCTCTTCTTTACTTACCAGCTGTATTATATATGGTATGTGGGGGGGGAAGAGAAAAATTGAGCAACTAATGTGAGCTTAAAACTTCAGCAAAGTAAGTTTTCTTACTGATTTTGTCACATAACATAACTTTCGAGACTAAAGATGTGCAGCAGCTCTGTCACGCTGTGTTTAGGGGGAATGCTAAAATCAGCATACTAGCAAGTTCACATTGATCATACTGAAATACTAGAAGGTGGAATGTTTTCTACGTTTAACATCTCAATTTAGCAAATTAGCCTGTGAACATGCTAATTAATGTAAAACACACACTACAATTGGGATTGTTTTTGTGTTGCAGGTGTTTTGGTCAACAACACTGAAAATCTGAGAAACTAAATCACCAAAGCTATCACAATCCATCCTTTAGGGACCATGAATGTCTGCACAAAATTGAATGCCAGTACTTGTAACTATTGTCGATTGGTTCGCTCAAATCACGATGCCAGAGGTCAAGTCAGCAGGATTACCTGTCTGAAGCCTGTGAACGCTTGTACAAAATTAAGCGGCAACTAATATCTGTTAAGATATTTGCGTCTAAATCAGGTTCGTGGACTAAGATCCTGCCATCCCCAGAGCTACTAACTACTAACACGGCTAAAAAAAAAAAAAAACACAACCTGTGCTAACGATGTTAACTTCTTTATATCAGCAATAAAAAAGATTCCCAGTGTTTTGAGTTGCAGTTTTCAAAAGATTTATAGTTGAACAATTGATCAGGGAAATGAAAGAGGGGCTGAATTTGATTGGCTTCTTCACAAACTGAAATCATGGAGCTAAAAAGGCCTAAAAACTCCACTCTGGCACTTTATTTAGTGTTTGTGTGCATTCCTGAATGATAAAGGTGACTAAAGCTATCTTCCTCTCATCTAGCAGACAGAGTCAAAGGTCTGCTTTCCATATAATTTTAGTAATTTAGACACAGTGTTTGCTAACTGGTTGTGACACATTGGTGTCCAGCATGGTAGGAGGATTACTGAGAGTCAGACTGCGAGGGGATCTGACTGACAGAGACGGTAAATACACCTAAGCTGACCATGTAACCCTCTGCACAGATTTTACTGACAAGCATTGCAATGTAAAGGCATGTTAAAAATGAAACCTTTTGGCCCAAGAAGGAAAGGATTATAAGCAAAAAAAACTCAAACAGGTAACAAAGACTCAAAACAATTAGTCAACCAACCTCTAGTGTCATCTTGTGATAAAAAACCATGAAAAAAAAAAAAAAGAGGTCACGAGTCACTGTACGCTCAAAAATGTGTCCAGTCGGCATTTTAAAAGCAGTAAGTGACAGAGACTCATTCACTGCAACTCTCAAACAGAAAAAACAGGAAAAACAACAGCAGAATAGGAAATGCAGTTTTTTTTCTGTATACTTTAATACAACATTGAAACCAAACGAATTTTGGAATCAGTACCTGTACATTCAGAACATGTCTAAAAAACAAAAAAAACCTTCGCATTGAGGACATCATTAGGTGTTAAAAGAGACAAACATCTGAACAAAGGCGGAAAAACTACAAGACTACCGAGATTTGTCTCTGCTGAGAAGAACTTAGGCAACGGTAGTGAGGGATTTCAATGTGTCTTAGGTCATAAAGGGTCTTATTTTGAGAGCATAGTGTAACACATGCCAGTGTGTGTGCACCCCTGAACTTTTTTTGCAAGCAGTATTCATGTTAAGTATGTTAAATCCTATATCTTATACGTGGCATCTTAAGAAAAATGGTGACGTTAAAATGAAGTACTTTGAGTTATCACAGCACACACTCTTCTGTAGTCTGGAAAACATAGGAAACCTGATTTCCCACATTCTGCACGAAAATGTTTCTTATTATTATTATCATTATCATCATATAGAAGCTATTAGTTTATAACAAAGGGTCAGCTGTCTATGTCGCTAAAAACAGATGGCAGTATCCAGAAAGTTTTATATGTAAAGTGACAGTATACAGTAGGCTGCACTGATAGTTTAATTAGAATTAGATTTGGTCTAAATCTGTCAATTCGCCATCAGCAGACATTGCAGTGTCCCAGTGTTATTTTTAACTAAGATCACAAATATGCAGTAGCACCCCGAGTTTAGCTGTGTTGCAAAGAGGAGGTGCCATGTCTCCTGTCTCCTGTAGCTGAGAGGCTGACAGGATAACAGAGTGAGGCACAGTCCTGAGGCTTAAGTAGCCTTTTAGAACTCTGTAAGAAAAACATCCATGTATTGAACACAGCCTGTGTCGTCTGAAGTGAAAATGCACTGATGCAAGAGATGGAAAAATCAGAACTGCATGTACTGGGAAATCCATGACAGAGAACTTCGCTGAACTATTAGTCACACATTACACATAACGCCAGCCAAGCAAGTAAACCCATCTAAACAATGCCTCTGTACAAACTACGTTTTACCATTGCTACACTTTCAGTGTTTCTACATAAAAAATTAAATACAAATACTTCCTTTTGTAAAATATCCATCAGAAAAAGCAATCAGTAAAAAGTCTTGGGGTGTACAAACATCTGCATGTGTACATATATTTTAAGCCTTTCTGGTGCGATGGACAGAAACGTATTTATTTTAATTAGCTAATGCCTTTATATTCACTCACAGACAGACCCACAGATAGTCAAAGGTTCACGTGTTTTGTTCAGGTTAATGTATAAAATAACAGCCTCTAATTTCAAAGAAATGTTTTCAGTTCACACTGAAATGTCCGTTGCTCAGTATGAGCAGTGATTAATGGCTACAGGAATGTGATGCAGCACTCGGCAGCAGAGCTGTTCTCATGCTTCATCCAGGTTCTGACGTCGGTGAAGGGAAAGTATCAGATCTCTGATTTCATCTCGTTTCCTTCGAACCTGCTGCCGTGGGAACCATCGCTGTAGATGTAGGGGGAGGTCAAAGTGCACCACAGGGTCCTGCAAGCGGAAGCAGAATCACTTACTTATTTTATGAACATGGCTTAAAAACGGTTATATGAGTTTTAACTCCAGAATTCCAAGCAGCTTCTGTGTCTGTTGCTCCTGTAACATTTTTACTCACTGTGGGCTCATTTTTCACTGTAATATAAAGTCATGCAGCGCATGGAAACAGAGCAACCGTGGCAAGAAGTAGATAGAACTCAAAAGCTTCTTCTTTGCAATAGAAAAATGGATCATATTATACAAAAAAGGAAAAATTAAGTTCAATTTCTTTGATTATTTACTTTTACAATAATTGGAAAAAACATCAATCAACATGTGCAGCATCCTTCCAGGTGCCCACAGGTGTCACCCATACTGGGGAAAAACTGGGACTCTACTATAGATATTTTACTACTCACGTGTTTATTTCATTTTCATGAATATTTGTCAAATGACTGTTAGTTGCAGCTGAGTCACTACTGGTTGTAAAGTAGAGCCAAGGAGTGCTGAATTCTTTCTGTTTTTTGCAGAATCAGGCTCAAGCAAATGGTTCATTTTTTGGCAAATTTGAGGCACACAGGACAAATTGATTTGGAAACGGTATTGTGCTTTTAAGTGTAGATTTGGTTACGTTTTCCGATGTAACAGCACGTAACAGCAGAGTAGCTCCAGGACCATCAGAATATTGAACATCTGACAATTTTTGCTTTTCCTACAGTTTCTGCTTCTGATAAATGGGTCACTGCGGTTTATTTAGAGCAGGGATCTCCAACTCCGGTCCTCGTGAGCTCCAGTCCTGCAGGTTTCAGATGTTTCCATACTGCAACACACCTGACTCAAATTAATGGATCTCCAACAGTGTGTTGTCAAGTTCTACACAAGTCTGTTAATGATCACGAAGACCGGAGCTGGAGATCCCTGATTTAGAGATATGTCTTTTAAACCTGCTGGCGGGTTCTGGGATTCAGCAGGTTAAACCAAACACGAAAATGTAAAGCTGTTGCAGATCAAATATTACATTTTTTAAAAAACACATTAGAATACAGTGCATACAAAATCTTTACCTTCAAAAAACACTCAACATATTGGAGAAGGTAGAGGCCACAGTCGCTGCTGTTGTCCTGAAGGGGAACTTGGCAGTGTGAGCTTTTCATCTGATCGGGACCAAACTCCCTTGATGAACCACGACGGACCTCCCATTCTGACTGCAAGTACCTGACAGACAAATAGATGTCATTTAAAAACACATAAATAGAAACACAAACACATGCAAACAGGTGGATTTAAAGTGTCATACTTACTCCCTTAAGAGTTTGAATACTCGCTCATGAAGCGACAGTTTGAGGGAATCCATGATCAGGATGCACGGCCTACAGAGAGGAGAGACAAGTCAGTGTGTTCAGCCTTTATCTGGGGTGATTCTCTCCACATTGTCAGGTTAGTGGAAATAATACTGCAAGTCGACTACAATGAATGACCAGAGTGTAAAGTCTGTAATGTAAATAAATCTTTAAAACACACACTACAAATGTCTCTGTATCCTTATCCAATGTGCAAATACAAACACTACAATCCCCCTTTTATAGCTGTGTGCTAAGCTTAAATGGGCATTTTATCTGTTTAACAGCAGTTGCAGTTTCCCACCGATAAAATAAAGTGTGCACACCGACGTGAAAACCGAACTGAAGTGGTCATTCAAGACATGATACACATTCTGATAGCGGGTTTTACTCGCAGTTCATCTCAGCTGCATGTAGACGGTTTTAATATGCCGACACTTTAAGACACTGAACACACCTTTGCACTGCACCGATGGTTTAAGGCGTTTAAGAGCATAGAACTTAAAGACAAGATACCCCGAAGACAGCAGTAAACCAAACAGTCTGCACAAAACACAAATGAACCGAGCATTATGGTGAGAGTGTTTGTGTTTTTTTATGGTTGAATCACACACATATAGTAACTATGGACAAGCAGTGTGACCTTAGACAAACTACAGTCCAGTTTCAGTACACGACAGACAACAAGTAGCTTTATTTTAATTAAAGCATGCAGAAGTGTCTAATTGGCAATAATTCTCACTCGAACAGTTAAGACACTCAAATGCTGCATTTTACCAAAAAGAAAACACTGAGTTGTTTACTCTAAAGTATAAAATAAATATTACTAGAAGGGTACTCGCCAATGCACTATCTCACAATTTTAGCAAAAGAGGTGCAGATCTAAACCAAACTGTAATGGGTTCTTCCTGCACACATGCTCCACCTCTCCAGCACGTTTTTATTAAATTTGGCCAGGTAATTTTTGTGCAGTCTTGCTGACAGAGAGACAGACAGACAGAGTGACTTCGCTGCTAACATACCTCCACCAGAAGATTACAAAAATGTCAGTTAAGACAAGTGAAACATGCTCATAGTTAAATTAGCCACTGAAGTCAGCAGTGCAATTTCAGCTTTAAAAATTGCACAAAGTCCTAATTTTCTGTCAACAGTGCATTGCACTTAAAAACACTTATGCTCAGTGGAAGTTTGACATCTATTAATTGACCGGCACCGTTTGAGCAGAGGACTCACGCTCAACGCATAATTTGAGTTTATTCTAATAGAGTCCAGCTGCCCGGCTTTCGAGGCTAACCCTGCTAGCATGCTATACTTGATGGACAACAACTGGTGCACTGCCAAAACATTCCAGGTAGAGCACATGATTTACAATTTTCGCAGAGCGAGTATGTTTCCATAAATAGACTTCTGACAGTAAGTGTTTGGCTCACAGCGTGTACCAAACCGTGGAAATTTCATACCTCACAGTTTGGAACAAATGCAAGTATCATTATAGCCCTACTATGGACATTTTATCTAAAGGTCTCCTTGTGAAAAACTCCATAAGTTCTCATTTTCATATGTCAAGCGGTTGAACAGTGAGACAAACCTTTTGCAAACTGTCTTTTTCTTGCATGTCAGCTCTGTGCAGTTCTACAAACAAAGACAAAATCAGACAGCAGATTCGCAAGAACAGAAGACAAAAGCAATTAAAAAAATATTGTTATTCTGTGTAAGGAAGAAAAAGAAAACCTATTTCTTACTACTGGACCAGGTGGTGGATCTTTGGTGGATTCCTTTTGGCCATTTTCTAAAACACATGAAACCAAACATTAATATCAGCTTTCCTTAGGTCCAACTGGAAAATCACAACTTTATTCAAATCCTAAAATATGCACAAAAAGTCGAGGAAAGTGACTGTTGTACGCCAAAGGACAGATCACGGCAAAAGAGGCACGGATCTTTTAGTGAAACATACCTGACTCTTTGTCCACAGTGTCACTGCGGCTTAACGTAGGTGGTGTCTCTGCACTTTCATTTAAGCTTTTACATCCCTGGCTCTCCTCTTGATGCAGTGACTCGCTTGTCCCGCTGTGGCTTTTTCCCTTCTGTGAGTCTGAACCAGCCCAGTCTTCCAGTTTAGGCTCATCCATTCCAGGAAAACAAATGACAACTAAATACCAATGAGCCCTAAACAAAGAAAGAGTACATTTGATGTGTTTAACTGCAAACCAGAGGGCTGTACAATCTTTCCATGTATCTTACTTACTCCTGATTGACAGGCACAAACAAGAAGTCCTTTTTGAAGATGTCCACATGCCGTGTCCATGTCTTCACCCGTTGGTGCCGCCTCTGCCTCTGACAGCTGGGTGCACACAAAAATAACAGTTTGTAGTGACTTCATATTAAGTGTTGAACGGTTTTAAGAAGATGGCAGAAAATGGAGGGAAAGCAAATGATGGTTCTTTATCCACAAATTAACTGTTGAAGGCAAAATTAAGCTCATAACTTAGAAGTCACACAATGTTTTGCTTTTCTTATTCTGATAACTGTGTAGATTCTACAGCAAATAAATGTATAATTAAAAAGCATGGTGACGGTACGATGAGTAAAAGTAGTAAAAGTAGTTTCAACAAAGTGCATCTAGTGCATGAAACACTTTAAAAGTTACAGGAATTAAATGAAACTATAAAAACAGAGAGGATTGTCAGATTGTCAACATTTTGACGGTTCTTGAACCTATCATTTGTACCAAATCTGAGCCTCAAATTGTAATATTTCATCAAAATCCCTTTTACTCTACAGCTAAAAAATGCCCCCCCAAAAAACAACAAAAACATTTGTTCTGACAAAATTTTGTAAAAAGCAAAAAATAAAAAAATAAAAATCTGCACTCCTTGGCACAACTGAGAAGCCATCAGTGACTCAGCCACAACCAGTCATCACATGACAGAAATTCAGAGACTTTTCCTCTGAACTGAGCTGAACTGCAGGTTGTGCTTATACAGAGCAGATAGGCAATAAGCACAGAAATCAATTTGAAATATTAGCAGTATAACACACCAACATTATTTAGAGCCACCGTGTTAACACAGTAAAGGGCACCTATGCACCTGCAGGGACTAAGAAAAATGTTGTACATGTTGACTCCAGGTTTATTCAGATTTTGTAAAATAATAGTTAAAGGATCAGAGATGTAAAGATTCCAATCACATGAGCGACAGTCACAGGCATCACTTAAAACCCAGTCAGGTGGGAGAAAGTGAGAACTTTTGCCAGTGTGCAGCTACTTCCTGGTATCAGTGCATATCAGTGCCAACCTGATACGACTTTGTCAACGCTACTTACGAGTCACTGCTGGCACCTTCACTGGCGTTGTCCCTCCGTGTCAGCTGCTTGTAGAAGAAGCTGCTGAAGATGTGTGAGCGCTCGGCCACAGCAGCGGGTGCATCCTGGATTAGGTACCTGATTCACACACACATAAACACAATCAACACTCTGTCCTCCACAAACTCAAAAGGAAACAAAGTCAGCTTAACCCTTTATGGGGCAAGCGGCCATATTTGGTAACTTCCTTGGACGTTCAATATGTCCACCATGTGCCTCTCCTTGAGGTGACAAGAACCATGTGCACTTTGATGTAGTTTATATATTAGTGCCAATATCACTGACTAAATGTCACTAAACAAATGTTCCAGGCACTTTATAAACACTGGTTTGCATTGAACTCTACTTTGATTTATTTTTTGAGATTAGTGCCAAAACCACTAATCCCCAAGAAAAATGTTACTAAATGAACTTGCCAAGCACTTTATAAATACTTTGTTACTAGATAGGCACAAATATTTTCTGCAGTTTGTTACTTTTTCTTTTATTTATTACAAACTCCCTTTTTTAAGCGTAAATGGGCAAGTTACCATATATGGTAACTTTAGCAATCTTGATTTGTAACATTTTTAAAAAAAATGTAAAGTCACAAAAGTAAAAATATCTTGAAATATCCTTCAATAACACCCTCGGGCTGAAGTTTTAATTTTCCAAGTATTTCAAGGAGTGCCCTATAAAGGGTAAATGCCTTGTGTTTACAAATGTGTTACTTACTTGAGGTAAAAGTCAATAATAACATCATTGAGGTACTGGCCACTGTCAAGGCACTGCAGGTCCTCCATTGTTACTGATATTCCTCCTTTTAATGGCGGGGGAGGAAACTGGATCAACCTAAGCAGAAAAGGAGGAGAAAATAGCAAAGCGTTAGTGTAGGATCGATCATATCAGTACCAGCAGCATTTAAGATGCAGCAGTTTCAGGTAGGCTTTAATATATTCTCATCTAAAATTTCAGATTAACACTCCTGACACAATTAAGCCCATAACATTCTTTATTAAGGTTTCTTCTACCAGTGGTACTCATTAAGTAACAGCTGCCTGCCAACTTGTCAGTGTCAGTTCTCCTTTTACCCTTCATTAAAATGATCTAAAAGAGAGTGGCACACAACTTTTGCATTTAAAAAAAAAAAGGGGCTCTGCACCAGAAAATCCAAACTTCAAAACTGAGAAAAAAGAAAACTCACCACTAGTGAAACCCTAATTGTTATAATATCTTTATTCCTGAGAGAGAACTACAGTGGCTGCAAATATCCCCATTTGTAAATCAGACCCTGTTGCACCAGCACCTGTATAAGACGCCGTGTACGGGACAGGGTGGGTTACTTGCCTGCGGGCCAGACCCTGATGTTTATATTTAGTCCAGCTGGAGTCTGGTTTGCACAGCGACACTGAGTACGATCCTTTGGTTCTACGATGGCAAAGTGTGTATGCAGGAGTGGGTTCCACCTTTTTCTTCTGTGGGAGGAAATGCATAACATTGTGTATCTCACCTTCGTCAGGACACAAAATAAATCTAAGGGGTTCCAAGATGATTACGAACAGAGAAAAATGGGTTCTTCTACCAACAATGTTCTTTCCTTTAAATTGTTTTTTTTGTTTGTCAGAATTAGCACATTAGCTTCTGTTTTGAGCCTATAAATGATTAATGTACAGAAATGAAAGATATTCTGATTGAACTAACATCCAGGTTTCACTTTAAAGTGTCACAATCCAAAATAAAGTCACAAACCACTTACGTCAGAGGGATGTTCCGGCTCTTGTTCTTTCTGATCTTCTTTTGGTTTGAGTTGCGTCCCCGTGTCTTGCTCTGGTTTCGTCTCCAGTTTCATCTCCGGCTCCAGCTCCGACTCTAGCTCCGACCCTTTCAGTGATTCAGCCTCTTGCTGGGTGTGTGTTATGAGGGTTTTGTCTCCATCAGACTGTGAACTGCTCTTGTCTTTGCTCGGTTCGGGATCGGTGCTCTTCACACCCAGCATGGAGAGCAGGTGAGAATCCAGTCCAGTTCTTCTAATCAGCTCTATGCTATCATCCAGAGAAAGAACTGGAGAGTCGATGTCCAAACCACCTAATGTGTCTAAATTATCGCTAACAATAGCTTGTCCATTTGCAAGACTATTGAGGCAATCAATGTCCAGTAAAGAGCGCAATAACGCTCCCTCCATTCCCTCCAGAGGACCTTTGAGAGTCAGCAGGATGAAGGGGCTAGCTTTCCCTGTCACAATAAAAACACATCAATATCAAACAGCAGTGAAAATTATGTCACAAATGTACATAACAAAATCTTAACAGCAAAAATAGAAACGCTTGGCAAAGCTGCAAACAGTTCTGTAGAAATCTCTTAAAGATGGACACTTTGTTTGCTCAGACCTTGAACGTTTGTCATTTGGAAAGTGTGTCTCACCAGTGTCTGGGGCCTCATCTTGGTTGACACACAGTTGGCTGAGGTCCTGCTGTAGCGCAGTCGCAGCAGTTTCCGACACGCAAAACAGCAGAACGGCAGGACAGTTCTCCTCGTCATCATGTAAGTGAAACTTCCGCGCCTCCAGTTCCTGCTTCTCCCAAACGCTGTACCTCCTCAGCTCTTTACGTTCGAAGCTCAAGATCTGTGCAAACTGCTCACTAGTGTCTGAGGACAAGAGGAGGTCACGTTAGCATGCTAGCATCAGCAGCTATGATGAACACTGTTATTTCCTCATGTTTACTATTCTAAAACCACTGCTTAACATGAGGTACACAGATACACCTTATACTGTGTTCTCCTGGTGTAGAACTGAAACACATGGGAGCAAACGCATCTAATTACCTTCGATGCTCAAATACTGTCACCCTGACGTCCTGCAGAATTTAAGACAACTTCATGTATAACTGTGAAGGTGTTTTACTGGTCCTGCTGCAGGACTGGGCTGCACCAGCTAATCCCACTGCTCCGTTTGCGTTAAGCCCTTTCTAAGTTCTTATTAGCTACAAGCTATTTTCAAACTAAAATAGGTTACATCATTAAAATATACAAATTGTATTTAGAAAAGTGTGCTGTCCATTTTATAGTCAATCAGTTTTATTAACGAGAGGCCATTGTCGCAGGTTAAGCTGTTAATACACAGTAAACAACCGAATGTAACTACATTTTTAAATGATTTAAAAGTGCATCGTCTTACAGTAACTGCATTTCATCTTAAGTTGAACTGTAGGGTATTTTCTCTTATGGAAAATTATTAACAGGTTAAACAGTTTGCATAGACATAGAACACAGATCTGACGAAGGGAAAGTTCTGGTGTTCACAGATCATTTTATAAGCATCTGATATTTTAGCTTCTGATTTGGGGTTTGTATTTTCAATACAGTCTTTCTGAAGTATTTCTTTTTGATTTTTTTATAAGAAAAAATAATCAGATTATCAACTTAGAAATAAAGAAGTTATTGAGAGGTGATACCATTTTGGCTCATTTGGAACTTAAATGATATTTTACAGGGGATACTCACTTGTGTTGTATTTAACCGATAGCTTTAAACGATTCAGTGATACATTCAATTTAACTGCAGAACCTTTGTGTGTTTAGTATTTATACAGTTTAGACTAAGGGGGGTGTGTTTAATTTACAAAAACCTATCCGTTGTTTTGGAAATGGAAGTGTGTTTGTAAAAATACATTTCAGTTCACAACTTAAATCAAGTGTCAAGGTCAGATGTGCATAATCAACAGTTTTACTTGAACTACTTTTAAATCAAATCCATAAACAAACGTTTTGTCAAAATTCATTTAGCAACAGTTAGTAAACATTTTAGAACTTCTATGTAAGAAGTAGTATTGAGGTACAATCTGTTTTTAGTTATCGGTGCATGAATCTCCACTCTGCAGACACTTACATTATAATCAGTTTAACTTTAAACAAACAAAGATCTGGTGCACCTGGCTCTTAGTGCCTACGGACACTTTTAGAAAACCTTTATACTCTTCTTCTCTGCATGTTTTTTAAAGCTAAAATAATCATGCATTCATTCGTGTAAAAAAAATAAATAAATAAAAACTTGTCCTTGCTGTTTATAAAATGTATCTAAATAAGTGCATTTGCAGAATATTTTACAAACTTGCAAAACTCATATAACAGACATTTCCTTAAAGACACGTAGCTGGGATCAAAGCTCACTGACAAACCACCTCAGTTCCCTGAAGGGAGGATTCACGTGTTCAGAGGTGAAAGTGCACTTGGGAATGAGGGTCTAATCCAAGACCACAAACACACTTAAATAACTGAAATAGACCACTAAGCTGTGAGAGGATGGTGTGCAGACAGCTTGACCAAAAGAAGATGAGATGGCTTCTCTTTGTCTCAGCGTTTATACAACCCAGACCAAAGGTTGCAGACAGCAGCAGCAGCTTATGCTCCTACAAACAGTTTGCTGATAAAGAAATATACTCTTCAGGATTCTTAAGGAAAGACAAGTGTGAAAACAAACTCGGCTGTATCATGAGGTTTCATTTATTCATATGTTCATAATCTACTCTTAATCATTTTCTTATACATTTATGCATGCTTTTGGTATTTGCTGATGTTTTTTTCAGATCAAATTCCCTTCAGCAATGTAAGCATGTGTTATACATAAATCTAAGAACAGGCATGAACTGGAGTGTTTTTGTGCTTTCTGTAAAGTTTGAGAGCAATTTTCCACATCAGGAGTCACAGTGAAGATTATAAAGCTGTTTTGTTTTTTTTGTTTTTTTTTTTAAATCACAGCATTACCTGTCAGTGGTATGATGATTCTGTCTTCCGCGATCTGAAATGAGAAAAAGATGCATGACACACTCAAGATTCTGATAAGGATACTAAATGAGAAATGCATGTGTTTGTGGTTTATTTGGGTTACCATAATGCCTCCTTTCGCTTTCCCTTGGAAACCTCCACAATGTAATGTGGAGAAGGTCAACCCCATGCAGGAGTAGTTCACAGAATTTGTCACTGATGACGAAACTGCTCCGGTATCTACTTGCAACACCTGCAACACACAAACATACGCACATATAGATATAGTCTGTTAAAGATGGTGCAGAAAGGGTGGTGTGGCAGCATTATAAAGCATACACAGTGACAACACAGTGACACCCACAACACAAGTAGCCGTGAAGCCACTTTGGAAAGGCTTAGGAAAAAAAATCATCATTTTGGCACCATCTAGTGGTGGTGATAAGAACAACACTGTGGCTGACCATACAGGTAAATTATCTAATGAAAAACATTTCAATTAAGAATGTTTTTTAATGAAAAAAATAGTCAGCCAAAAATGAGTTAAACAATTTGGATTACAACCTGGTTACAGCAAGCAACTTGGTTGTTTCTTCTGTCGATTAAACGCACAATAAAAAGAATCCTACGTGACACTCCACAAACAAACTGTGGCATAATCTTGGTAATTTAGTTTCATTCACAGAGGAGCTTTTGGTTCTTTTGCTTTTGCAAGCAGCTCTTTTTTCGTGGCATGCTCTGCAGAACTGTTTAAAACTGAATCCTTTCTTCAGGCTGTTCGTTGACTGTGATCTAGGTTTGATGTATTTTTTTAAGCTTGTCTGTCAGTCATGTGAAAGGTTGTGATACTTTGGATGAATGCTGCACTGGTAGAATCGATCCAGTAGTTTTAATGATTTTTGTTGTCTGATCACAAAAGTTTGTGACAGAACGTTCTGCAGACAAGTGAACTAAAGCTAATAAAATGTTGCGTTGGTTAAGAATGAACAGAAATCTTTTTTTAAATCATATTTTAAGATCCAATCTGCTCTCCCGTCACAGATTGAAGACTGAGGGCTCTTATTTGTTTCATTCATTTAGCAGGTGGTGCTGGACACCCTGGGGTGAAATAAAACCTTAGGCCTTCACGTAATGTCTCCATAACACCCTTTGTGATGTCATGTTAATCGGGGCATTAACTCAGCTCAGTAGAGAAAGCTGTCTGAGGGTTGTTTTCCCCGTTTACCATAAAAGTGAAACAATTGTATAAATTATTGTTATGAAATACACTTCTAAAGTATTGAACCAATATGGATTGACTGACTCCACCAACCTGCATGTCCTGTATGTGAGACGCTCGTTGTTGTTGTTGTTGTTTGGCCACAGCTTTCACTGAGGACTGTCCCTGTATTACTGTGTCTTTCAGTGTACGGACTGCTTGAGAAACAACACCACTCTCCTCATCATCACTGGACAGCACAACTGAAAAACAAACATAAACACAGCATTAGGATAGTGTGACTTTTTTTTTCTTGGGAATAATGCTGCTTTGCGTCTCTCAGAGTTAAAGACCCTCTCAATCACATACATGGCCCTTATTTGACAGCACATAGATTTCATGTAATGGGCTTTAAAGCACAGTAAGGACAGTAGTAATCCCAGGAAGACACATTGGTAAACAGAGCTACTTAGACCCACAAGCTGAAAAAACAAAACACTCAAGACAAGCCAACAAAATGGCTGAAACCCCAAACAATATCTGATAAAGAGAAAAAGGGTAAAATATTGACAAATTATTCAATTTCACACAAACAAGTTTTGACAAAAGTTGGCTACGAGACAAGCGGACAACACGATGTGACAAAAGTACCACAGTTACACAATGTAAGAAAAACTGAACAATCCCTATTAACTGATGAAGACCATGAGATGCAGGTTACAGAAACACAAACAGCTGAAGAACTGACTCTGAGTTAAGAGGTTTTTTGCCAAACTATCGTTTCCAAGGTAAGAATGTACTTTCTTCTTGATTTGCAGTCGTTTAAGAAACAACTTATTTTACCCGTTCCCAACACATAGTGCTACAGAACACAGCATCCCCATGTTTGCTAGGGCTGTATATGATCCACTGTTTGAGACACTAAAACCTGCCTAATATCACCCACAGCGATTGCTACCATGCAGAAAATGAATTAAAAAAATTAGAGCAACCTGTGCATTTACAGTCATATTTGCTCACCAAACGTATAAACTAACTAATGCAGCCTGACTGATCAAATGCTAGCCAGTCACAGACATAAATGTATTGGCATATAAGTAAGTGAATACATTTTCCAAGAAACAACATCGCTGTAACATAAATTAAATAAAGTAGTCCTACTCAAAAGCTCATTGGTAAACTCTTACAAATGAGTTCACACTTTGGCTTTTGGTGTTTCTGCTCTGTGTTCATCCAGCAAATAACTATCAGCCAATAAGTAGTTAAAAGATTTCCTTAAAACTCCCATGAGTTCATATCCATATTGGCCTCAAAACTTTAGCATAGTTTCAGCTCTACTAATAATGTACTATTTACAGTGAGCACACAGTTGGTTTCTATCCATGACTTGGGTTTTAGGTGTATGAATTGTCTGATTTTGTGTTCTGATGCATTTAAATGTCTTCTCTACAAACACATTCAGAAACAGTGAGCAGATACGGCACGCTTTCAAATCGAGATGCTTCCTGGGGTATTTGTTAAAGTGTTGATATAAGGCTCACACACAAAAATAATATTTAGATTTTCCTAGGCACCATTTCTCAGTGACAGAAAAAAAATACCGTAGAATAAAGCTACTAGGTTTGGAAGTAAATCTGCCGTTACTGCCATGTTGTTGTACTCACTGGGTTCAGCAGGGCTGGCTTGAGCTGTGTTGTCGTGACTCGGGCTGATGACTGGGACCAAAATGTTTGTTCTATCATCTCCTCCCACCGTGAACTGTACAATGCAGCGGTCCAGGTTCTCCAAATCTACATCTTCCTCACTTTGCTCCTGACAAACACTTGAAGGTACCGGTCCTCCATTTCTTCCGTCTTCTCCTGTGAGGCGAAGCACACTCTCACGGTGGCGTTTGGGGCTGCCCGTTCCATTGCACTGTGACCCCGAATCTTTCCTTCTCCTCTTCTGTTGAGACATCACAGCATGCAAAGCATTTACCAAACAACTCAGAGAGAAATGTTTAAGTACAATAAGGATGTGAAGATTTTAAAGACATGTCTTGAAAACATGGTATTTTAGCTCTTTCCAGCTACGGAATAACAATTAGTGAGCTTTTATCGTGTGAACCAGAAAACCTACCAGAAGGTTTGAAAGCAACGTTGTCTTTAAAAAAAAAAAAATGCATTTTTTTCAGAGACAGAAACTGTTAAAACTCCCCACAATTGTTGAATTTTCAACTGTCTGATAGTCTCTGAACTACTCATTTGTGATGTGCTGCTCCAATAGGAAAATTATTTCATCAAAATCACTTTATTCTACATCCATCCATTATCTATACACCGCTTAATCCTCATTAGGGTCGCGGGGGGGCTGGAGTCTATCCCAGCTGACTTAGGGCAAAGGCAGGGGACACCCTGGACAGGTCACCAGTCTATCACAGGGCCACACTTAGAGACAGACAACCAAGCACACTCACATTCACACCTACGGACAATTTAGAATCACCTCAACATGTTTTTGGACTGTGTGGGAGGAAGCCGGAGAACCCGGAGAGAACCCACGCTGCACGGGGAGAACATGCAAACTCCACGCAGAAAGATTCCGGTGCCCCCACCAGGACGCGAACCGGCAACCTTCTTGCTGCGAGGCAACAGTGCTACCAACTGCGCCACCCTGCAGCCCCCTTTATTCTACATGTCTCACTTATTTTTATTTTTTTTAAATCAACAGAAATGACTCACTACCTCTAAACCAGATTGTGTGAAAAAGAAAGAATCCGGTGCTCATCGTGTAACAATGAAGCCATTAGTGACTCAGCTGTGACTGACAATCGCATGACAAAAATTCTGAGACTTTTTTTTTTTGCTCAACTGAAGGCTGTGTTTACACAGAATAGACAGGAGACAAGTATGGATGCAAATTTTATTTTGTGTACTTTTCCAAATAACTTGTATACGGGCAATACACACTTTAACTTAAGCACCTTAACGTCAGCAAATCAAACTCCAATAGTTCAAATCTAGCAATTACAATCATACACTTTGTATTACTGATTGACTGATTGTATTGTATTTGTGTATTTTAAAGCCTTGTGCGTTAATTTTTTTTAGTCTATGACCCACCAAGGGACAACAGATGCAAACTAGCATTTATGCTAACTCTGGCAAATTTACATGTATTTTTTTACGTTTGTTCATTAACGTGCACTGTCCATTTTAAATAAATAAAAATAAATTAATTAATTTTAAAAGTGTAAGTCGTAAAATATTAGTAGAATGTAGAGTCTCCATTTGTTATAATTTTCACTTGGAAAAAATGTTACACAAGTTAACTCAAATTTTTCTAAAAGTTTGTAAAAAGAGTAATCAAAGACATCCGTTGGCATAGTGCACAAAAGACATTTTTGAGTTGACTCTACTTCTATGGTTGGACTGTTTCCATAGAGGTGCAGGACTTCATATTGCAGTGAAAAATGAGCGTACAGCGAGTAAAAACGTGACAGGAACAAAAAACACCCAGACATCGATTTGGGTACAGAGGGTTAAAGATGTTGGTAAGCGGGTCTTGTTTCCTCTGGACACATCCTGGCTAGCTTTTGCCCTTTTTCCAGTCTTTGTGCTAATTGAACTGGCTGTAGCTTTATAGTCATTGGCGTGAAATGGAATTGGAATTGATCACCTCACGGAACTCTCGCTACGAAACAAACAAAAAATAAATCAGCAATGACAAGGTGTAAATCTGGTCAATTCGCAAGCTGCATGTAAAGCATTTTGCTGGACACGCACACTTTAATAGGCATGGATGAAACCTGAGAAGGCTGTGGCCTAGGAAGACAAACATCCTGACTTTTTAAGGAAAGGTGATTCAAGGCCTTATTCAAAGCATGAGGCCGACATGGAAAGCTGCCACCGCGACTGCATAATGACGTGCACACCTGGGCTCTAGTTCTACCCCTTCTGCAGTAATCGGTTCGGTATTCATTTGAGTTTTAAAAGCCGTACCCACCAAATTCTGCTGTACGTCTTTTTCTGAATCAGTCCACCTGTCCTTGACGCTAGCTGGGGAGAAGTCGTCACAGCCGTCTTTGTTCTCAGTGGGTTCCCAGCTTACTGACAATCCACAATCTGTATGAGACAAACAAACGCAGAACAAACCTGTGATGCTCAAATAAACACATACAGTGCTGACAATCTACACATGGAATATCATGTCCTCTAAATATGACGAAATGTAAAAAACATATGGCAAAGCTGTAAACGCAGATGTACACTAAAGTAAAAAGCAGAGAAAAATATGTTGTGTTTTGTTTAATAAGACTTTTAATTGTGTCTGAAACTGTTAATAAAACCCTTACATTAAAGGACATTCAGCTTAGGTCAAGGGAGAGTGGAAAAATGAGAAGTGTGACAGAAGTACAATAGAGGAGGAGAGCAGGGAGCGATAACTGCATATGAACTCTTCACGTTTACCCACCGACAACCTCAGCGAATTTGTCGTCTTCTCCGTTGTTCATTCCTAGTATCACTTCCTCAGTGTCTGTGCTTTCTTCGTTGTCCTCTTCTTCATCATTCTTTTGTTGTCCTCTCATGGGCTTTGACCTGAAAAACACTCTGTTTTATTTACGGTGTACAGCTTCAGCAAAGCTACATGACGTAGTGTAAAAACATCCCAAGAGAACAATCTAAAAATTATATTTAAGCACAAAATATTGAAGCTCATAAAAACAAATGCAGAAATTTCTATGTGAACTAGAATCTCGAGTTCGCTGTGTGAGGTATTTTACAAATAAAAAATCATCACATCTTCTGCCTGGAAAATAGCCGACCGAGCCAAACTCCATTAAAAACTCATTCCTCCTTAAACTAATTTAAAACAAATAGATGTAATTAACCTGACAAAAAATACCTCCTGCTGCTTTTGTGGTAATTTTTGTTCTGGTTTGTGTAAAATATTACCTACCGCACTATTCTGAGTTTTGTGTAGCATCATATGTAGAAGAGACAAAGAGACAACTCAATTTCTTATTCAGAATCAAGCCTTTCATGCAAGTAGAAACCATTATCTGACTCATTATTCACAGCTGGGTGCTTAATGGTGTGAGTCTTTTCTATATGATTATTATTAGTAGTATTGCAGAGATTCTGCAGGCTTGTAGGAATAAAACTGAACAGAAGCTGTTACCCAGAAAGACTTCATGCCAAATGTGTCCTTCATAAAAACAAAAAGGAAAAAGGGAAGAAAAAAAAGGGAAAGTTCTACAAACATCCACAAATGTCTCCTCTTTTCTCTGTGAAACGTTTAATCCCCCCTCCACTCAAAAATGTGTTCTGCTTATTGTTACTTCATTTAAATGTTTGACCTTCGCTGTGCAGAGTTTGGCATCTGAAGGATGTTTTCACATTCATCTGGTGAAGGAGAAAAGTTTCCCTGCGCCCACCTTAAATCTGATATTGGACGTGTTTGTACAGGCAGGATTTTGTGGAATCTAGTTTAGAAGACGATCACGTCCAAAACTCAACTCGCACCTGTGTCATGGGGAAACTTAAAACCTCCAGTACATCAAAAATGGACTTCTCAGTAAATTACAAAACATTTTTTTCTTTAACCGATTCAGAGATTCTGTATAAATACAAGGATGAAAGAGGTTTCTACATATTCGCTAAAGGTTGTTGTAGAAAAAAAAACATGTCAGACTAGACAGATTATTATTCCCAGCAGAGTATTTTTATGTCTTAAAACATGTCTGGATGCTTCATTAAGAACAGGGGTCGGCAACCTTAAACACTCAGAGAGCTATTTGGACCAGTTTCCCACAAAAAGGATAACACTGGGAGCCACAAAACACTTTTGACATCTAAAATGAAGATAAAACTGCATTTATCATTTTTACCTTTATGCTATGTATCAAAAAAAACTATAGTGTTGCATTTATGAAATCAATGAACTGCTACAGAGAAAACTACATTTTATTTCTGCAACAAAAACGTTTTGAACTCTGAAAAAAAAGACTCCGGGTTGAAAGTTACTTTGAAATAAAATACTCTAATAGTCTATTTGAGTCCTCCACGTATATATGAAATAAAAAGTCGAACTTAAATCATCCACCTGCAGCAAAGTAAAACAGCGTGTGGTTGTCCTGCTGCCTGCAGCTGGGACTGCTGACCAAACTCCTGACCACCTGTGAGCGCTTTGGGACGGGAGGAGCTCACGGCAGCACCCACTGCTCGCTGAGCACAGTAACTACAAAACGATATGTGTTTTCACGCCAGAGCCTCCAAAACACCAGAAAAGTCTCCAGTAACACCAGAAGTCGCCAGATTTAGTGTCACTAGTCGCTTTTGACAAAAAAAAAAGTGGCAAAGAGGATTTGGAAAGTCACCAGATTTAGTGAGAAAGCAACTAAGGTGGCAACACTGTGCATGCCGGCGGGTGTCGCACATCGGCGGTTGTGACGTATATTTTGAGCGACAAAAAAAATAAATGTAAACATTAAATGTTTTATTTTAATGTTACAATATCACCATAATCTTCAAATGTAGAATTGCATTTTAAAAACTATTAAACTAAAATAAAATCAATTTAACTTTTTTAACTGGTTGCCTGACAATCTGAAGATCATGACATGATGACAACAGTCCATCATAATGCACATAACTAACCACAAAACCCTTCAACTAAAAAGTGAGATACACATTAACTGTGCTGGTAAACAGATTTTGTTTCCTTTGAATATAGTCCGGCGACATTCCAGTCTTTGGTCCAAGTCAACTGGCTGCAGCTTTACACTGGAGCTCATTTCCAAAATCTTCAGATAATTCCTTTACCAATGTTTTCCTACCTTTGAGAGGATGTGGGGGTGGTCTTCTGGTTTCGTTTAGGGGTTTCACTCTTGTTCTTATTATTTTTGGTCTCCCTCTGACTGGTCTTAGTGTCTCTGCAGGTCAGAGGTACCTCTTTGTTCCGAACACTCTCCCTCCGCGTACTTAGTCCTCTGTTGCTCATCATATGGCTCTTTTTTATCCTGTCTATGTAAGCCTGGCCCGGTTCTGTCTTTAGGACATCTGTTAAGATCAGAAGGGGTCGCCTCCTAAAAGACAAAACAGAGAAATGTGTCTTCACAACCTTCCCAGATCAGTGTCTCCTCTGCAACATCAAGTCCCATCAAGATATTTTGACTTGCAGCTCATCTCTCATTGCAGATGAGGCTTTCTGTGTACCAGCTGATCAACAGGGAGGGGTTCACTGGTATAGATAAGCCATATGTGCAGTCATGATAAGCTTGGCTTTGAGTCACCGAGTTCAGAAGCAACATGCTCTTTAAGTAAAGCAACATGACGCAGTGTGAAAAACTATTATTGTACACAAACGCAAGGGGCATGTGTGATTATTTTGGAATAGCAAATGTCTTGAGGTGCCGAAATATTATATTATATTATAGGCCACAACTGCTTAACCACTGATCCATGTTGTGATAAGATGTGGAGGAATAAGTTGTACAACTAACTAGTGTCACGTGCACCATGTTTGTAACTTAAAACCTAGAACTCTCTGTCCCACTTATGCATGAAGCAGCTCCACCTGAAACACACATCAATATTATGTGTAGAAAACCTCTTCAATTTCTTGTTATAAATTATTTCAAAAATATTTCTTTAATTAGACATAAATCCTATTATGGGAAAGATGATCACAAATCCAGATAGAGGTTGCTTTTTCACAGTAAGCTACCTTCCACTGGTCAAAAAGAACAAAATAAACATAATAACAATCATAGTAATATTGAAACACGTTCAAGACATGGTGTGCTTTGTCTTAAATAACCTTTAAACTCTAATTTTGTTAAAGTGCCTGCATATTTTTGCACATGGTCTGGAATATTTCATCTTGTCGATAACTTAACTTACTATTCTAAATCCTTTGCAAGGCTTCAGACTGCAACCAAAATGGTTTCGACCTTTTGTTGAGAGTGTGTGAGGTAAAACTTCAAGTGGTCGCATTTGTGCGAGTGCATTGTGATCATTAAGCTAAACTGGTGTTGCTGTAACCACAGGCAGCTACTGCGTTAACCACAGTGGTGGAAAGTAGTACATTTATAACTTCAGTGTCTCTGTCAGTCTGTCTCTGCATGGTGCGTCAAACAAGCTGTTGTGTGTTAAAAGACTGTGATCTATCCCTGATGTATTGTACATATTGCATACACATTGGGAATTATTTACTGGGAATTTATTTCAGTGTCTTAAAAATTAATAATATTTCCAGTTTGAATATTCAGCTACAGCAGAAATGTTTAAATCCAGTCACTGAACTAGAAAAAACAAATCGAAGGAGCACTGCTGTACATCACCTTATTAACAACTCTTAAATATTAAGTGTGAGGGCCCCATCTTGTGAAAGTTTAAGAAATTGCAACAAATTCCACAGTGAAAGCATCAGATTAAACTCAAAGCCCATTAAACTCAGTGTAAACAACAGCACATATGTGCCATCTTCAGCTGATGGGCAGCACAATAACAGGATGCTGGCTGCTTACCTGGTCATTTCCATTGTGATCATAGCTGCGTGGTTGTCATCAAACGTCGTGGACCCATTTTTATGCCGTACATTACTATGTCTGAACTTGCAACCAGCAAATGCAGTCCAGGAAACCTTTTCCAGAGAAAGAAAACAGTGTTAGTCCTGAGGATAACCTTGAATTACCATTTTATCACCGTAACATGTTTTCATGTGGTCTGACAGTAAGCAAAGACATTTCTGTGTACCTGTCTTTCTAACTTTCCACAGTCTGATGAAAGACATGTCATGGGGATTCTGAGTGGGTTTTCCATCTAAAATTCATACAGCAATTAGTTACGATGCCTGTGTAAAATGTATGAAAGGAAACAACAAAAATCTTATGAACTCTAATATAGAAGTGCAGCAAGAGCAAATAAGCAAAGCTTATTGATCTACAGTTCATCACGTTGTGATTATGTGTTTATATGTAGCAAGCATGTCACAGCAGCTGTTAGTTAAACTTTAGGGCATCAAGTTGGACACGATGAATTCTTAACAAGTGTTATTTCCTGTTTTCTGACATTTTACAGGCGAACCACTTAATAATCAGAAGACAAAGTGGTAATGAAGTAGCTTTGATCATGCAAAAATATACGGTGCATCTGGAAAGTATTCACAGCACTTCACTTTTACCACGTTTTGTTATGTTACAGCCTTATTCTAAAATTGATTAAATTCATTTTTTCCCTCAAAATTCTGCACAAAATACACCATTATGACAACTTGAAAAAAGTTTTTTTGAGATTTTTGCAAATGTATTAAAAATAAAAAACTAAGAAATCATATTTACATAAGTATTAACAGCCTTTGCCATAAAGCTTAGGTGCATCCTGTTTCCACTGATCATCCTTGAGATGTCTCTACAGCCTAACTGGAGTCCACCTGTGGTAAATTCAGTTGACTGGACATGATCTGCAAAGGGACACATCTGTCTATATAAGGTCCCACAGTTAACAGTGAATGTCAGAGCACAAACCGAGCATGAAATCAAAAGAATTGTCTATAGACCTCAGAGACAGGATTGTCTCGAGGTACAAATCTGGGGAAGGATACAGAAAAAATTCTGCTGCTTTGAAGGTCCCAATGAGCACAGTGGCCTCCATCATCCGTAAATGGAAGAAGTTTGGAACCACCAGGACTCTTCCTAGAGCTGGCCGGCCATCTAAACTGAGCAATTTGGGGAGAAGGGCCTTAGTCAGAGATGTGACCAAGAACCTGATGGTCACTCTGTCAGAGCTCCAGCGTTCCTCTGTGGAGAGAGGAGAATCTTCCAGAAGGACATCCATCTCTGCAGCAATCCATCAATCAGGTCTCTATGGTAGAGTAGCCAGACGGAAGTCCCTCCTTAGTAAAAGGCACATGGCAGCCTGCCTAAAGTTTGCCAAAATACACCTGAAGGACTCAGACTATGAGAAACAAAATTCTCTGGTCTGATGAGACAAAGATTGAACTCTTCAGCCTGAATGCCAGGTGTTATGTTTGGAGGAAACAACAACTCTGTGAATGTCCTTGAGTGGCCCAGCCAGAGCCCAGACCTGAATCCATTTGAACATCTCTGGAGAGATCTGAAGATGGCTGTGCAACGACGCTTCCCATCCAACCTCATGGAGCTTGAGAGGTTCTGCAAAGAGGAATGGGCAAAACTGCCCAAAGATGGGTGTGCCAAGCTTGTGGCATCATATTCAAAAAGACTTGAGGCTGTAATTGCTTCCAAAGGTGCATCAACAAAATATTGAGCAAAGGCTGTGAATACTTATGTACATATGATTTATTAGTTTTTAATTTTTAAGAAATTTGCAAAAATCTCAAAAACCTTTTTCAAGTTGTCATAATGATGTATTATAGAATTATGAGGGGAAAATGAATTTAATCCATTTCAGAATAAGGCTGTAACATAACAAACTGCGGTAAAAGTGAAGCGCTGTGAAAACTTTCCAGATGCACTGTACTGATTACAGTTGCCTATGTTAAAGCTGTCATATGTCCTGGCCTTACAGCAGAGAATGTGGTTGGTGAATATCAGAATTCAGCTACGCAGTGATCATAACAGCAAGCCTGCGTGAAAGCAGACCCATTAAAGTATAACAGTTTACAATGAGCTTGTGATCAGTACAAGTGATGATGGCAGCCATAAAGCAAGCAACACGACAGTATCATGCCGAGATAAAATGCAGCTCATGCAGCACACTAAAAGCTCAGAAGATAACAGCTATGCAATGAAAACTGGATAGTTCAGAAACATAGTTAGCATATACCAGGTTATCCTTGTCAACAGAAAAAGGGATAGTTAAGGCTCTTCGTCGCTCCATCATGGTCCACGGTTTGATAAGGCACAGCAAGAACCCTGCAAGAAATATATACAGAGACACAAACAGTATGACACAGTGCTCATAGGTGCAGAATCGTGACATGTAAATCAACAGCTATAGTCTAAAAAAGAACCTGAGTTTAATGTTGTCAGTAAATAATAAATCTCCAGGGTATGTGGCTAATTCAGATTGCTACTACTGGCTCAGTAGTAAGATACTTAACAAAATGCAAATAAAATGTTAACCACCATGACAGAAAGAACATACAGTAGTATATTAGCTTAAACCCTTCATGTAAAAAACTAGGTGGTAACTTAAAGACTTGATTTGGATTTCAAAAAACATGAAAATAATTGCTAAATTATAGCTTTTTGATTGTCATAGTGCCATTAAGCAAGTCAACCTGCCAGAAAAGGATATTTACTGCTATACAAAGTGCTGCATGACAAACCGATACGAGAGAAGTATCACAACATGTTGTTAATTATATTAAATCCTGTACTGATACTTTAGTTGATCAGCAGTGTTTTGCTACAAGCAGCATGTCTGATGACATATGTCGACGTGCCACAGTGAGACGGTGGAGAGACAGTGGTGTTGCAATGCTCTGCTTCCACTCCCTGCAAGCAAAGTAGGCCTGCCAACTGCGTTTTTTTTTTTGTCCAGCAGCTTTCATAGCTCCAAGACATGGCTGCAAATCCAAGCGTGACGCCGACTGCTGACAGCTTGTATGTACGGCAGACACGTATCACACGCATCACGCAATCAAATTCAAGTCAAACAAGTGTGACTTATTAGGTAACACCACAGGCGATTAGCTTGGCTTTGTTGCATCTTTAACAATGTGGAACGCATTGGTACATGCAAATACGGCCTTTACACTGGTAATGATAACTTCACCTTTGCACACAAGCTGCTAAAAGTCAGATGTTCAGAAGCATGCAGTAACTGCAATAGTAGCTACAATGATCAGCTGATTTCCTGCAGAAAGAGTGAAAGTGGGTGATTAAAATATTCACTAAAGTACTGTTTTAAATAAGCAAATAAACTACTGCTGCACTCCTATCTGCAAGAACTTTTTGTGAGCAGGAATGTGACTTGCAAAGGTGAGAGATGTGTAAAGAACTGATTCTAAAGTACAGTTTGTCCAGTTCTGATTGACTATTACAGTGTATGAAAATGCTTTGGTCCATCAATTCCCTCCTGTTATTGAGTGGCTTTTTTTTTTTTTTTTTTTTTTTTTTTTTTTTTTTTACCTTCTCCACTACCTTTCATTAACATTGTCAAAATATTTCATTTATTTTAATTAACAACAAGAAGTAAGTTCCAAATTCTGTCATTTGTTATTGCATTACTTTTCCTGATGTTTTAGGTTCTTGATGTGGTACAATATTTGGTCAGGCATCATATCAAGATCTGAATCCTGTTATTGTAACAACACTAACACAAAGAGGGAGATCAAAGTAGTTATTAGCAATTAACTGTGTAGTGTTTGGAAGCTGTAACATTGTAAACAAAACTGTAAATACTTTCATTACTTTACTATTTCATAAAAATCTAGATTTGCTACGATTTCCTTTTACTTGTAACACTTGCTTTTTTTTTGTAATTCTGTGGACCTTCTTTTCTTGTAGCCATTGTTTACTGCTCTGCCCCAAAACACCAATCTGATTCCACGTATGTAAACACTTCTTTAGTAGATAAACAGATTTTCCACTTTGCATCAGCATCGAGAGACCAGACCATGCTTCACATGCATGTGAATGTAAAAGCACCAAGTTGCAACTAACCAGAAGTGACCCATTATTTCAATTCAGCAGGCAACACTTGCTAAATGTGTTTCTTGAGTCACTGAAGCTGTTGCATGAACAACAGGTGTACCGCAATTTATTCAAAACAAGCCTTTTGTGTTATAGTCATGCTGCTCTGCAATGACTATGCGTTTGATTTTAAGTTCAATTTCTCTGGATGAACAGAAAGTGAAAAATCTGATTAGCTAGCGCTAGCCGACCAGGCTAGCAACGTTTGTGCTAAACCCATAATGCTAGCTGCACATAGCGGAGCTAAAGCTCACCTCAGGCCAGGCCTCCTGTGAAATTTACACACAGTATCTCTAAAATGGGGACGGCTAGTTTCCCACGAACGCGTCCAGCAGCAGCTTGCAAACACAGAAGGCACACATTTCCCTCTGTCCGACTCTGCACTCAAGAGGCGCTGCAATATTCCGCGGCAACATCCGGCGAGCGCCGGAAGTGCGTTCAAAAACAAGCAAACAAAACCACCGAGAACACGAAGAAGTCACAATTTGTTCCGGGAAGATTTCATTCCTCTATGTGGAGTAAATATTATGTCACAAAGGTAATGCAGCAACACATTAACTGATAATTAATGTAAACTATGGTGAGATGTCAGTCGGAAGAATAATATTTATTTTTCTTTTAAAATATAGAGTTATATTTTAAATATCAGTACAATATGGACACAAGAAGTAAGCTTAAGTGAACACATTTAAAGAGTAATTCAATCATAATTGACTACAAATGTATTATTATAACCCTAAAAAATAAATCCCCGTCTTTGTCAGTCATTTTGATCCATACAATGTTGTTACTTATACACAAAATTAACTTTATTTTCAAATTGATGCTGCTGTGACATTATTTCCGAAATGGTTTTATTATTGCCAGTTCGTTTACAACTGATGAAACAAATATTATATCTCTACTTAGTTTATTCTCATTGATGTTCAAACTCCTCATAAAACGAAGTCAAGATTAGCCTGTGGTAATAAGGAATTCATCGGGGAGGGTTTCTACAAGTGCTACTCATTCACATTTGTCTTATTTCACGTTCAGTAAAAAAGTATTTGTTATTTTTAGTTCAGTTTAATGAAAGTCCTCCATATGGTTCTAATGAAAACTGAAAAAAAAGTTTGCATATGAATATTCATATATATATAGATTTTTTTTTAAACACTAAGGATCATTTTTGCACTGTACTGTCTACATCAATAAACCTAAAAAAAACCAAAAACATTTCTTTTGATTTATTCTCACAAGAAAAAAATATTTCAAAACCACTTAAAGATTAGGACGGCAAGTGTCATGCAGTCACAACACACCCTACCTGAATTGTATAATAAAGTCTGATAGATTTGTTTGGAAATTATTAATGAATCCATAAATTAATAAAGTAAATTACAAATATATATATTAGCTGACATTTTAATGGGTCATAAAAAATATTTGAAAAATTAATATCCATTCAAATATTAATCCTTTAATAAATGATACATGGGACAGCCTGCCAACAACTCACTGTGGCACGTATTTTGCATTTAGAGTAAATTTAAAATCATGGTGTGTGACAATATAATTTATTAAGATAAATGAAGCATGCATTGTTGTGTACTTTACGCATTGTCATCCTTGTTTTAAAGCAATTAACGCATTTTAAATTAGTTAATTTAAAAATGTGTTTTGTGTGTTTTGTGTCTGTCATCACACCTTCAGTTGGATGTCCCTGTAATTTTGAACTGGGTTCAGTTATTATTACTCATTCGTTTATTCAACCTTTGTTTAAACTTGGAATACACTGTTGTACTGACTCCTCTTTTACAATATAGCTGAGTAAAAAAATAAACGTTGCAGGCACACAAACAAGAAATTGCGATAATGAAATAAAAATAATAATACCAATTATTGGGCGTTTGAATCAACAAGTATGAGTTCAGAATACTGAGCTCCTCCTGTGTCATTGTCTGAGTTTATGAATTTTACTTTGTGCTTAAACAAGCTGTGTTAAATTATTACAACACAACAGACAGACTGCAAACCTGAGGGCAGATATTTTAACTTATATGCACCTGTTTTAGTGTCTCTGTGCAAAACAATGCAACCTTTGTCAAGCATGTTATGTGCACTGAACTTGTGGAAACTTTGACAAAAAGAAGATTCAAAAATCAGCAAAATCTGTCTTGGACTTGTGGACAGGTTATTTCTGCTATTCTTGAGGTTTAATTAGCAGGTATAAGCATGTCAACATGTTAAACTAAGACAGCAAACATAATCTAATAGCTAAAAATTTGCATAACGGTGAACCAGATAACAGACAATATATATTTTTTCTTTTATATGATTAAACTCCTTTCCTTTTGCTTTACTTTTTATTATTTGTCTGTTTTTGTTTTCATTGTTATCATTATCACTATTAGTTTCTTTGCTACCACATTTTATAGTTAATACTGTTATAATTAAATATGATATACTGTAAATGTTCAGAATACACACTTTTTTTTTGGTCAGTACTGAGGCCAAAAAGCTTATATAATTACTTTATGCAATTACATAAATATCACAACAACCAGAGTTTTTTTAAAATCATTTATTGATGTAACTGCAGAAACATCAGGCCTGCTCAGCCCCTGAAGAGAGGTTTGTGAGGAGAACTTCAAACACTGCAGTTTATAAATTTAGGCCTTTTTCACAGAGACCATGTTGACTAACCACACAAACGCTTAATGGCATAAATATCTGTATGGCATTCATATATGTAAAAGCAAGGCCCTGTGGTATTTTGCAATGTAAATCACCCGCAAAACTACAATTTAAAAAGTCATTACTTATTATTATTAGTTGCCCTTTTTTGCTGCAGAGGTAAGTCAAAATGTCGACTGTGAAAAAGGCCTACACATGAGTCATCCTGAGCTGGGCATGGCCACTGGAAAGTGCTGAGATAATATTCTTCGTATTCCAAAACTGTGTTTGTAAACTTTTGTATAGACATAATTAATGTCAACCGTTTCATACAGATGGTTAGAAATCATCCTTGAAAGTAAATTATTGCCTTTTGCTGCAACAATACACATGTAACAAATTCAATTTTGCCACTGAGTAGACCACAGTTCCAGTGTCCAGCCTAATCTTTAACGTCAGGAGCCACACTTTTGCACAGCTGTCTCCGAGGACATCCCAGAGCCTGCTGCTCCACCGACACCATCACCAGGTCCTGAGGTTAGTGCAGCAGGTACTCCATTCCCCGCCTTCCCTTCAGCTGAGTAAAAAAAGAGAAACACATGTGGGTCAGTGACATGAACACTAGAATGATCCTCCATAAACCTACATGTACCGTCCGCCTTTACCTCTAATACCTCTAATCTCGTGGACGTGCTTCATGACATAATGGTTAGATAAAGTAGAACCACTGACATCAGAGCAGGTTATGTACAAAAAATGTCAAATGCTTGTTGATTTCATGTTTCAGTCAAGCGTGTAATGGCATATAACGTCACAAAGTCTGAATTTTTGAAGACTGGTGAATAGTAAGTTCACTGTTCATATTTAACACAAGTCTCATACTTTTCTGACAACTTCAGAATCAGAAATACTTTATTGATCCCTGAGGGGGAATTGCGCTACAGTAACGATACAGTTGCTCCCATTCAAGTCATAGAAATATAAACAATACAAAATATATAGATAAACATAAGTTGAAAAATATGTCAGAAAATGCAAACATAAGTATGAATGTAAAATGTACTATTCCTAAGAAAACAAATAAATAAATAAAAAGTGTAAGTATACAGTGTAATAACTTGTGTGTTATTGCACAAAGGTAATAAATAGCATGTTATTAAAGGATACGTAGTTACTGCACTATGTTAATGTACATTATTGAGTGGTAACTTGAAATGAAGTGAGAAACTAGTTAACTTCTAGCACTGAAACATAATGAGTCCAGTCTGACTATTGGCTCAGAGTTTGACCCTCTGAGTGAGAAGTTATACAGTTTGACGGCCACAGGTTCCTGCAGACTGTCCTGCAAAAGGCAACACAGCTTACAATAACCTTTCATTATTTTCCTATTTGTTTCCATTTCCTACATTGCAGTAGTGGTTGTTGTCATTGTCTTACCTAATGCACTACATGGTGTAATGATGGGCTTTTCCAGTTGCTCTCCCTCAGCAATGGAAGCCCGGATCTTCCTCACCACGTAGATGGTAGCTGAAATGTTAAAAGATGTACAGTAAGCAAGTATAAAGTCACCAGTGAAGTATTAAAAGACCACATTGAAGATGTTGTGGGTTAGTTTCACCCTAAAAAACAGCTTCATTTTCATATGCAGATGAATAAAAAGTTGTGATTTGAACTATAAATAGCTAAATAAGCTGAAAAGCAGAACCTTACATTGTTATTATGTCAACAAAGAACTGCCTCATAGAACAACTAAATTTAATGTACACTGATGTTAAAGGTAAGAGAAATTTTAACTACTCTGTATAATGCAGGATAGTGAAAGTGAAAATAATACGTTTTAAAATAAAATATAGTTAAGTGTTAAGAAATTAACGCACCTCTCAAATATAGCTGAGAAGAAGTGATACACAAGCGTGTCCACTACACAGTACGTAAAGGTAAACGTGTTTTTATAACTGCGTAAATCTGTGTTACATATTTAAACAAACTACCTGTTAGCCACAGAGCTAGCTATGTAGCCTGATAGCACACGAAAGCAAACGTCAACACCGCTGTCTGTCACCCGCAAGGGCTTTAACCACAAACTGTTTCAATACACCAAGAAACGATAAAACAAGTCCTACCTTTAATCAGCAGTCACACCATTGTTTCGTCCTGTTTCCTTCTGTGTTTGAGGTAAAACTGTCCGCAGCAGTAAACGCACCGTTGAGCTTCCAAGACTTGTCTGATATTAATACCCCAGCTGTTACAAAAGCACACAGCCAATTACATACCGCGGAAGACGCCGGGGGCGGGGCTGATTCGCTTTTCTGCGCTCTGATTGGCTGAGCTGTTACGCAAGGTAAGTTGAGCACGTAACGAAGTGAAGCTGAATATTTACAGAGAAAAGAGGATTGAGATGAGCAGCAACTAGACAAAATCCGCAGGTTAGAAATCTTACCTAATTCAGATTAGTTTATTTTAGTGCACAATGTGAAAAAACTCTTCATTTTACTGTCCAACAATTTTAAAGTTTATTGCTCTTTACACACCTGCAGAGAACTATATAGTTACTTAAAATGACATGTTCCAATCTTCTGCCATGTTAGCAAAACAAAATTTAGATTAAAAGAATGAAAATTGACTCGAAACACTAGACTATAAAAGCAACACACTGATATTCATTTATTACATCTGTATTCCTAGGTACTGAATCAAAATTTCTTCAGAATTAACATCAGATAACAGAATCCTTCTTGTAATCTCTAAGAATTTAGTTACTTGTTCTCTAGGAAATTAGTGGAAACATTGGGTGCCATTAAATGAGACTTTGCAGCACAATCCACTTAAAGGAACTAAAACATGATTTTTATTTTTTTTGCATTTGTAGTGTCAAAATATATTTGAAAAACAGTCTAACTTCAATAAATTGTGAAAATCACAGATATGACTACTTTATGTTCTAATTTCCAGCCAGCTGTCAAACACTTTGCCCATGATCAGCTTTTTAGATGAGGTGGAATTCATCAGTGATATTTTAGAAAACACTGCTAATAGGACTTTTTGTTTTCTTAACTGTGAAGGACAATAAAACTTTGCTAATTTTAATGCAAAACAGCACATGCGTGGTATGCTAAAGTGAAATCAAATCAGTGTGATCCATTTAATAATTTATTGTCAGGCATTTATTGCAATTTACAGAGCTTTGTTTATCCTTCACCGTTCCGAACAACCAACATTATGATCAAGTATTTATGTAATCCAATACACATTTGTCATTTGGACTAGAAGCACACTTTAACCTACCTGGACACATCTTTTCACAATAACATTACAGCAGTTTCTCATAGTTGCATTTGTATATTCAATATATACACATAGATTTCATTTAACTTAAAATAGTTCCACACAGCAAGACAAGCACAACAACTTCACACAGAAACCAGACAAATCTCATTCTTTCATACCATTACAATGTGTCTTTTTTTTACAATAAAAAATACAATTGCAATCACCAGGGGAAACAAATAAAACACAGTTAGTGAGGAGTTAAAGGTGTAAGGAATGATGTGAGCTGTGAGGCTGAAAGGAGGAAGTCTGAATTTGTTCAGTGTATACACCAGCGGAGGATGATATTGGTAGACAAACTTAAGTGCCACAACTGTGATGCTGTTGTTTTTTGTCTGTTATAGTGCCAGTGTTGTAAACACAGCAGTGATTCAGGATTACCTCCCGTCCTCCCCTCAAACCGTCACAGTTTCTTCACTAAACGAGAACCTCACACAAAACACAAACATTCACTAGAAGGCTCTAAGGGGACAGTGGGAGTGTTGATGTTCAGGCCTTAGTCCAGCCTGATCTTCTGATTGGTCATCCTGTAGATGATGCTGTCATATCCTGGGTCCATGTTCCACAGGTTGTAAGCGATGGCGATGACAGCCAGGGCCAGAGCGATCATGAGCCACAGCACGATGTTGAAGACCACAGCGTAGTGGAAGTTGTACTTATAGGCCAGGTTGTACGGGCTTCCTGGGTTACTCTGGAAAAATATCACAACAGTCAAAAAAAGAAAGTGTGCCATGGAAATTATTCTGCAATTAGTTGATTTCACTCATCAAATTTAAGCAGCTATATGCATTCAGTAGCCAGTTTATTAGATACTTCTAGTTAATACCAATATAATCAAATACAACAGCCCTGCAGTATATCCTCCCTTCATGAAGGCTAAAATGTTCAGCTATTCGACAAACTGTTTTTCATTCAGGTCCCGTTTACACATAGCAAAAACAGTGATATTTCAATGTGTTTGGGTCTTTGGTTTACACGTAAATGAAGCTACAAGTCACCGAAAACATTCATATCTGGAAACTCCAGTCAAAGTGGAGATTTGGAAAAACTCTGTCTTTATGTTTGCATGTAGACAAGAGGAGACGGAGTTTGACGTCACAGTATGCAACACAAGCGTCATATGTGTGCAACACATGTTTACAGTTTGGCTATTGTGATAGAAATAGATGCTGTTAAAGCAGTTCTCGTTTTTATGTTTGAGGAATCGCTTTTGGCCTGTTTGCATTTACATTCAGAAATGTTCTATTATGTGGAGGAGCAGAGGAGAAGGATCGCTCACGATCCTCACACCATTATCGTTGAAGAAACAGGAAGTAATTGGTGCCATTTGTTGCTGTGTTTTTTCCAGGATTCTGACTGACGAGCATGGCTTTATGCTTCTTGTTACGCTGCCCCCTATTGGTTTGGCATGCTCATAGCAGGCCTTAACAACATGTTCATGCAGGTTTGTGTAAACAAAGATTTTTTTTGAAAACAAGCTGGTGTGAACAATGTTATTTTTGAAAACGTAGATCCCTTTTTTTAAAAATACCTGGCTACATGTAAACGTGGCCTCAAACTCAAAATACGTTGAGGTGTGGAGGTGTCACTAGCAATATCACCAAGTAACAAATTAAAAGACATAGGCACACAGAAATAAGAAACTTGGATAAGAGTATAGTTAAAATAGTTAAAACATTAGGGATAATTAGAGTATTTAAAATATCAAAACAAACTAATCGACTACGACAAGAACAGCTGGAGGTAAAATCACTTGTTCTGGATGTTATTTGAGGTTCCAGGTAAACTGTGAGTCACACTAAAAATGTCCAAGCTCAGTAAAAACGTGTCAATAAGGATAGACGAAATAATAAAAATACCTCTCGGTATAATGCAATAGAGTTCAACAGCACCACAAACTACATCCTTCAATATCACCACACAGCTCTCTAAAAGTCTCAACAAAAACTTTAGCATATCTGCTACAGTAGTCAGACCTCAAATCTTTAGTTTTGATGGGAGTGTTATAGATAATATGCATTAACAGGACTCCCAGGACTGTCTCTGACTTATTCTATCATCCCAAACTGTCCTTGATTATTTTAATTAGAGCAAAAGATCAAAACAATCTCAGTCCAAAAAACCGAAACGCATGGATTGGATTTGGGTTTATACTTGATGTAAGGGGTTAGCAGCACCATACATACCAATGGCGCAGGTTCTAATTGTTCATCCAGTGTCAGATTTCCCCTACTGATAGCTCCACCACAACACTTGATCAGATATTCCCCACAGTGATTGAGTTCACATTCTTTCCCTTATTTTTTGATACGGACTGCACACACTAATAGAAGTGGAGTCACAGCTGTGAGACAGATCTTTTTAACAGACGACATTTTGAGATGTCATAGCAGGAAAAGCACAACTGATACAAAAAAAATTGTTCATGATTGCAGTTCCATCCAACTATCTGTCTAAGCCATGACAGCGAGGCAGCACACACAATAACAGGACCCTGGAATCATATTACCAAAATGAATGCAGCCATATTAAAGGTTAACATTTACACCTGGGCTTGTCTGGCTATGACATGCCAAAATGTCTGCTGTGACAAGAGTCTATAGCCATTTTATATCATTGTTATGTTCTTTCATTGTGACAGGGAGCAGCGATCATGATGAGGAAACAAACATTTGTGGTTGGAGAAGCCTTTGTTACTAAAACAGATGAGTGAGGCTTTCTTCAGCTTGCTTAATCTTGTCTTGTAAGAACCAAAATGCAATCACCCTAAATGGACCATCTCAGTGACATCTGTAGCTGATGTATAGTAACATTTTTATACCTTCACAGAGGCGATAGCTGTAGCTTGGACACAGAAGTATAACCATTCCATTTGTGTGAATGCGATATCTCTTGAATGTAGTGAGAGAATTTCTGAACATTTGGCACGAATGCTCACTTGGACTCAACATGAATTGATTTGTTTTTCGTGGTCAAAGGTCACTGTGACCTCGCAAAACCTGTTTTTGGTCATAACTTAAAAGATCATATGCTATTAATCACAAGGTTTTACACATGTCTGATAGGATAAGATGGATAACAGAATGGCATTTTACGTCTAAAACTTCAAGGTCAGCTTCTCTTTGACACCATAACATTCTAAAAAAAAACAAAAAAAAAACTCCTTTCTGGCCATTATTCAACACCATAACTCAGTTACAGGAAAAATGGATTTAAACTCCAGCTTGCCTGGTTGACAAAGGCGCATGATGTGGCTAACCAATGTGCGTAGGTTGAGAATCTACTCTCACATGCTGCCATTGCCCTCACAATTGACCTTAACAGTCACCTCACTCTGACCACTGTTGAATTGGCAACATTTTGTTAACTGCATGTGGTTCACCTCACAAAAGGAATGCTGCCTCCACATTTATTCATCTGGTTGAAAACCACTGCCTGAACAAAGATTTAGCTGTTTGTGACATACTGACAACTCAAGAGTCTGTTGAGCTCTGAGCTGCCAGTTGACCTGTCTGATGAACTCATCTGCTCTATAGAAGACTGCTTACAGACCACATGCCGTCTTTGAGTCATGTTGTGCAAATTGAGAGGATCTCCTGGTCAGAAAATATTCATTGCGTGGGATATATCAAACGGCTACCGAGCAAGCATGGAATTACAAAAAACATCTCGGAAAGTCAAGAGAAACACAAAGCTGACTGAAGTTTGTGGTGATCTTTAACTATTTTGCGTACCACTGATGTGTTACTGTTACTTAGTTTACCCTCAATTACAGAAATCCTATGGATATGTTTAGAAATCTTTCACTGAATCATTGGAAAGTCTTCTGTTGGCACTAAACAGTAAAAAGTTAAATAGCAGGTTCCCTCCGACTTACAATCTGTTTGGATTCCAAGATTGAACGAGACTTCCTGGTCAAAGGAGC